GCTGTGGTGCTGAGCGTAAAAGAGTCTGGCAAAGGGCGGTTGGGTTTTAGAAAATTTTGAAAAAATTTTTTTAAAAATTTGGCATGACCCCTCTCCTTTTTGAGCTTTTCGGGATCAAACTTACCTTCTTCTGCTTCTGCTACGGCTTCTGGTCCAGTCTGAAAGCTGTTTCTTCTTTCTATTTCTTTGTGTCTCTGCGTTTCTGTTCTGATTTCAATGTTTCCAATCGTCATCAACCCCTGGTACCTAATAGTCTGATAGCCTCTATCTACCAACTCAAATGAAAACTACGATGAACATCAATTAAACAAGAAGCGCATAGCAGATTAGGGAAGAGCATGAAGAACAGATTCCAATGAGTATAAACATGAAAGTATGAAATGGGAAACAAGGCACAACATTGACAAAAAAAAATTTTCGTTCGCGCCGAGCGAAAAAGATTTTGAGAAAAAAAAACTTTTTCCGTGATCGACTAAATTCTTAGCGCATACCATAATGCCAAAGAGAATGGAAAACCAAATAGAATGAGTACCAACATGAATATAGAATTCGAAAAGCAAGGCTCAACGTTGACAAAAAATTTTTGGTCGCGCTATCGGGGGAAGATTCCGGAAAGAAAAGTTTTTTCTCTTATTCGACGAAATCTTAGGCGCATATCATATTCGAATAGAGCAAGAAGAATCAAATCAAAAGAGTATGAACATGAACAGGTTGAGTTAGGATATACTTGACTTGATGGAAAAATAAATTTGAGCCAGCCTCACAGAGTCGAAAACTCCAAAAAAAACTTTTTTGAACATCAAGCAAGTAAGAAGCGCATACTAAATATAAAGAGAACAGAAAAATCTGATTCAAGAGAGTATGAAGATGAACAGGTTAAGTAAAGATCGAGACAAAGTTTCACAAAAAAATTTTGGCTGCGCGCAAAAAGTCAAAAATTTCAAAAAAAAAACTTTTTTCAACATAAACCAAAAGAGAAGAGCATACTGAATGTGGACAGAGCAGAGGATACTGGATCGAATAAGCATGAGCATGTGCGGAATGTAATAAAACAGAGGCAAGATAACACCGAAAAAAAATTTTGATCCGCGCACAGAGTCGAAAATTTTGGAAAAAAAACATTTACTCTACATAAACTAGATGGACAGAGCAGGAAAAACTAGATCGAAAGAGTATGAACATGATAGAACCAAGTTAGGATTGAGACAAAGTTTCACGAAAAAGACATTTGGATCCATGCACAGAATCAAAATTTTGGGAGAAAAGAGAAGTACCAAGAAATACACAATGAGACATCTATCATAGAGCGCTTCAAACCAAGGCTGCTCACAGATGATACAAGATGTACTAATCTTGATTAGAAAGGAATGGGAACAGACTTCGAAATAGGAAAGGGGAAATTGAAAGAGAAATTCCCTCACCAGGGTGCTCTTCCAAATACGGATACCAAAGTACAAAGCGATCAGAAAACATCAGAATCCTATAGAAAACAACAAGCAGTAACACAGAAACAAATTCTCTTTAAGTCAAAAACTCTCACGTACATCCGAACACTTGCGAACGAAGAAAAAACAAAAAAAACCCTGACAGCATCCAAAAACCATACGACCTCTCTCAAACCTTGCACAATTCGAAATGGCGTTGCTAGAGTAGAATGGGACTCCGCCCACAACCAAAATACAAAAACCCAAGTATAAACTGTTTAATCTGATTAACATCTACTGAAACAAAGGATCTTCAACCTCGAACCACACTCTGTTTGTGGACAAATGCAAGTCCGAGGAATATGTTAAATCATTGTTTAACTCAGTTCGAGCTGAAAGACGCTATGCCCATATGCTAAGGCCATAGGCGCAGAAACAATATTCAGACACGTGGCAAACGATCACACTGTGTTACAAGTAGAACCAAAGGAAGATTTTAGTGAAGAAATAAAAAAAAAGAGAGAAAATTGGTTGAGATAGCATTCAGTTATTCCCATCCGTCTGGCTTCTCTACTTACAACACCCTACTGGGCCTCAGCTCACTGCCGTGGAAAACGTGAAGCACAACCGCTCACAT